GCGGCCTCCTCGCGGACCACCTCGCGCGGTCGGGGCGCGACGTGCTCGGCGACCAGGCGCTCGCGGCCTGCCTCTGCTCCGCCGCCGCGACGGCCGCGTGCCTCCTCCTCGGCGACTTCGGCGCCGCGCAGGCCGCGCTCTTCGGCGCGATCCTCTGCGACGGCTTCGCCATGGCGCCGCAGTACGCCGACGTCCAGGCGCTGCTCCCGCGGCACCTCCTCGGCCCGGCCCTCGCGCTCCTCTCGACGGCGACGACGCTCTTCGAGGACCTCCTCGAGCTCGGCGTGGGGCTCGCGGACGAGCGCAACGGGGACCTGGGCCTCGACATCGGCCTCGCGCTCGCGGCGTGCTACGCCGCGGCGCTCGGCGCCGCGGGGCTGCGCGTCGCGCGGGCGGCGCGGAAGGCGCCCGGCGCGTAAAGAAAAAGCCCCGGAAATTACGCCTCGAGGGACCGGAGGAGGCCCTGGAGGAACCGCGTCGCCTCGGTGACTTTGTCCGCGACGCGCGCGCGGTCCGCCTCCGCGACGCGCGCGCCGAACTTCGCGTGGAACTTGTCCGCGTGCCAGAGCAGGAGCGCGCGCCGCGCGGCGGCCTTCTTCGCGGCGCGGCCGTCCGACGGCGCCGCGCCGACGGCGGCCCAGCCCGCGGCGGGGTCCGGCCACGGGACGTCGTCGTAGGCCACGGGCCCCGCGGACGCGCCGAGCGCCTCGAGGGACCGCGGCGCCGCGCGCGGCCGCGGCTCAGCGGCGCCGCGGAGGTCGCGGCGCGCCGCGCGCGACGCGTCCCGGCGCCGCCGCCGCGCGTCCGCGTCGCGCGCGTCCGCGTCGCGGCGCCGCGCGTCCTCGCGGTCGCGCGCGGCGGCGTCGTCCGCGGCGCGCGCCTCCGCGGCCTCGGCCGCCTTCGTCGCGGCCTCGGCGCGCCGCCACGCGGACGCGGCGCGCGCGCGCTGGCGCGCGCGGTGCGCCTCGACCTCGCCGGCGTAGTCGACGCGCTCGGCGTCCCCCCAAAAGGACGCGCGCGCGGCCGCGTAGCCCTCGCCGTCCTCCGCGCGCGACGCGAC